GGGGGCAAAATTTATTATGGTTTATAATGGCAAATGATACTTTGAATATTACATGTAAATAACTTGATTGGAATTATAACCTTGAGTGGACAGTATGATACTTTGAAAATTTTGAGGCAGCCCTACCAAAAACCCCACCATTCAGCCCCTGGGGGTTAGTCAGGGCTCATATGTGCATACTATCAAACTGCTACCTAATACTGATAATGCTAACCCAAATTGAATTACTTCCAATGGAAATTAAACAAATGTTGGTACAAAATGTGATTTTCCTATATAAACTATAGTAAAGTTTACCCCCTCCCCAGGGGGAAACGTGAGACCCCAGAGTCAAGAAATTTTGAGCCAGCCCTACCAAAATTCTGGCTCAAAAATTGCCCTACCAAAAACCCTTCAAGGCTGTAGGGTGGGGCCCAAAGGAGTCAGTGTGCTAAAATTTCTTCATTTTCCTTGTTTAGAATCAGAGGTGCTAGTTTCAAATACTTTTTAGTCTTAAATCTGTATGCTAGATATTGAATAAGGTGGTTTTATTGTATTTTGTCACTTTGAATAATATTTCTGTTCATGTTAAAAACAAAATCAACTCTCTGTATAAATATATCAGGTGACTGTTAAGGCCCATGGGCCTCTTGTATATTTGACATCTACAAACTTTATTTCATTTCAATTATGAAACAAGTTTTTCCAACTCTTTGTTAGCCCGGATTGAAGTGCACATAGGGAGAAAACGGACTACCCCAAGGAAACCAACAGTTGGGCAGATTGCAGAATACCTTTTCACGTTGATTAAGGAATCAAACCCTGGTGGTGCAAATGAAAGACGAGAGCACTATCCACTACGCCACGTGACCATCCTGGCCTTGATATTTGATTGAGGGTTTCAACACAGTACTATTAATCCAATAATTATTTTCAGAGTTATTGCCCTTTGTAACTATAGTTTTTCATGTTTCCCCTTGAAACCTGTCATATGGATTTGTGCATATGCAGTGTATAATAATTCTTTTGTTTTGTTTTATGGTCATAGAGTACTGTCCCCATATCCAGTTCTTTGACCTTCAAGGTGACTAGATGTACAGGAATAATTTGAACAAGCCATTTCTTAACAGTTGTAACATTTGTTCATTTATCAAAAACTTCAATAACTTTAACATGATCATGTACATATAATTTTTCTAGTTTGACAATTTCTTCCCTTTGTTTCTACAAGAGAACAAACAAGAGGTCCATGGCCTTACTTAACAGTCAGCCAGTTAAATCCTTCCTTGTTACTGCGACGTGATAAGAATAGAAGAACTTTATAACAAAGTATGTCTTTTTGACTGTGGATTGGCTTTAACAAAATAATGTTTGGGAGAGGCCAACATTTCTATATAGCAAGTAAATATCAGAAAAATGATAAAATAATATAATTCAGTAATAATTTAAAGTAAAATTTTCCCTCTAAATTGGGAATGGTTAAACTGCAATAAGTTTAATATGATAATAATTCCTACTAAGTTTGAATTATTTCCCACTAAAAATCAACAAAATATACCCAAAAATGTCATTTCTATAAATAATTCATGTAAACATGGGTGATTCTCAAGTAATAAAAATTCAGTTTTGAATAAGCATGTTAGGACCACCAAGTTTCATCAAAATCTGACGGATAGTTTAGTTTCTGAAGAGATGTAAAACAAGAGTACCGCGGGGCAGAACAATATACGCCCATCGAATGCCATATAGTGTTATATACCTTCTTACATTGAAATAACTTCTTATAAAATCTGCATTATTCTGAGAGTGGTTAGCTGACATGCTATAAAAATTATAGAAGAAAATCTCCGGACAAAAAATCAAATACTGAAATGAACAAAGGGCAATAACTTTTGCAAAAATCGTTGAATCAAAATTCTTTTAAGGGAGATACAGCTTCATATCATGCTTATAATGTATACCAAGTTTTAAAGAGATCGGTCGAAAAATGTAGGAGGAGATTGTCGGACAAAAACCAAATACTGAAATAAACAAAAGGCAATAACTTTTGCCAAATTTGTTGAATCAAAATTCTTTTCAAGGAAACACAACAACATATCATGATTATTTAGCCTTCTAAGTTTCAAAGAAATCCGTCAAAAAATGTAGGAGAAGATTTCCGGACGGACAACCCCATACCATAATACTTCCGTCAAATTTGACGGGCGTATAAAAATAGGATAGCTTCTTCAGGTTATGCACTAANCCCGGGGGGGGGGGGGGGGGGGGGGTCAGCCTCATCTTGAGTGTTAATTCTTATCCCCACCCATTGGCTTATGATTACCACACAAAGTTTCATTAAAATCTTAGAAGCAGTTGATTTTTTTATTGTTTATGTACAACGGATGGTGCTGGACAGAAAGTGAACTGCATTAGGCCACCTGAGTGCCTCAGCAACTTGTGACCTAAAAACCAAAGAAAGGTGAGTCGATATCTTTGTTTAACTCTTTTTTTAATGTTACACTATCCCCATCCAGCCAACTACACATCGATAACACTATCTGTTTGTAGAGATTTACCATGTTTCTGGACGTGTAAAGAAGACAGCTTATCCTACTACCTGAGGCAAATGTAAAGGAGAGTCAACGAATCCCTCTTACAGAATGCCAGTCTCACACAGGACACTGCCATCAATGCTGGTACCCGTTTGTTCAGCTAAGCAGCTGGAGTAAATTAGACACAATATATATCTTACTGTACACACATCTTTCATTTCCTGGGCTCAAACCATCATGGTTTGATACACTGTACACAACTATTGTTGGGTTGATATTTAGCACAACACAACTGATACTAGCTTCTTTCAATTTGTCTCTTGGGTATATTTTAGATATTTGATTCAGGCTGAAATATAGTGGAAATAAACCACTAAGATATAAGTGTGCTATGAAGTAATAAATCAAGCCATGCTTCCCAGCCTCCAGACTCTGGTGTATCAAAATTCTTTGGCTTCAGGTTGAATTTCTACCTCTTCTATTTTCCTTTTTATTATCATTCTCAGTTAAAATTTAAGTAAATGTATCACTGAACTTATAAAACTTGATACAACAGTATCTGATATAGCACATTATGAGGACTTTGTGGTATCACAAAAGATTTCAATTAAGTAGAAAAATCTCTGAAATATATCTACACTTGAATCATCTCTCCTCGGCAACACACAATATACTTATGTATAGTATTTATTAAAATTCTTTATAGTTTAAGAACAAATGCAGTACAGATATCAACTATGGCACACCAACAGGAGATCTGTGTTATGATGGGTCTGTGTGACGCTGTCGTCCACACCTACTTCAGTCTCCCGGCCTTGAACTTTGACATACGCCTAGGCTGTGTGTCATCCTTCACACCAACTTCAGCCTCACCTGTACAGTGTCTGCGTATATCACTACTGTGTTTTATTTCTCCAGCATTTAAAACAGATTTATCAGAGTTTTTGTCCTCAAAGTTTTTCATCTGAAAATCTTGATTCTTCTCTATGACAGTACCAGAAAATGCCTGAAAAACAAAGATTTTTTTCCATAAAATCATTAACAACCCATACCTGACCATTTACTGCTTTATGAATCTAATTAAAGTTAGAATGAGTTCAAATCTGGGGTTATCGCATGTGATTTGCATTGTTGTCCGGGAAGCAAGAATTATCGAACACAGAATAAAATGACGTTTTCTCCCAAATTAACATTGAATCTCTCAAAAAAGTAAACGGTTTAAGATTTTTAATTGATAAAGGTTAACTTATATCCGATTATTTTAGTAAACTGCAAAAAAATGATTTTGGCATTTCTTATAACTTTAAAACTCTGTACGTTAATTTTGAAAATACATGTAATCAAGAAAACTTAAATTGTTTCAATTATAGGTTGAAGTGGATCCTACTATGGTAAGGATCTTCTTGAAATAATTTAATTAACGCCCTTGATTTATAAACTGATCAACAATCCCACCAAACGCCCTTGATTTATAAACTGATCAACAATCCCACCAAACGCCCTTGATTTATAAACTGATCAACAATCCCACCAAACGCCCTTGATTATTATAAACTGATCTAATGAATTGATCATTACCAATCCATAAATAATGATATAACTAATAACGTGTCATAGAACTTTGACTGTTAAACAATTACCCAAAGGACCCGAATTTTTACAGATTCAACAAGATTTTGACTTTTATAAACTCACCAAAGGACCTTGACCCATTCCTCGCCCTTTCCTACTCTCCTCGGCTGAGATATCTTCTTTCATTTTCACTTTTTTCTTCACTTTTGCTTTCTGCCCTCCATCTGTTGTATTTGATTTAAGTATAGATTTTGGCTTTGAATCACAAAACTGTTGGTAAATGTCTCTTGGGCTCTCGATTTTACCTGAAGTTTCCTTTTCTTTTTCTTCAGTTTCATCAACCTGGTTGTGAAAAATGTATTTAGTTAGTTTACTGCAGCCAGAAAGAAGTTCATTGAAAAACAAAAACAATTACTAATTCTACCAAGCATTGAACTTCCAGTTCCAGTTTGAAGAGATGAACACTCTCCACGTGGGTGAAGGTTTGTTTCACGGGAAAATGTCCCATGGTTGTTGAAGGGGTCAAAACTATAGTCTGGTGGGACAACAGGTCACACAATTTCAAAATATCTACATCTGAGCAGTCTGCCAGACGAGGAAGATATACCAACCAAAACTCCAACTGATTTACCTTCAACAAAAAGAACTTTTATCTAGAGGCTACCCCCCCGCCGCCCAGTTCTGCCCTTTGAATAAGCCTGAACAAAATTGTTTGCCTGACAATAAACCAACCAAAGGGCCATAACTCTTCAATAAAGGGTTGCAACAATATGGCAGCTACACAGCACAACTTTGTGTAAAAGGTAAACAATTTACAGTTTCATTGAAATATATAATATGAATCACAGGGACCTGAGAATTTGTTACAGCTATATTTGTTCCTAAACTAAGGTGTTCAGAGTAATTTTACATGTTTATGGGTTTACATCGATTTTCTGTAAAAATGACACCCCCAGTGATCACTGGGGATGTCATTTTTATCGAAAGTCAATCTAAACCCCTAAAACATGTAAAATGTTCAGCATTAGCAAACTGGACCATGCTTTTGTTCAAGTCTTTTAATATCAATGGAAACAGCATGGCAGTCATATACAGGCAAAGATGGGGCTGATGAGCTAGATGAATTTCATGAAAATGTGAAAACGATACTTGAGGAGAAGTAATGTCAATCTAGATATGTATCGAGGCAGATTAACCGGGTTCCCTTTTAAATTGCCTTCCAAACTCTTTAGATTTATCAAAAGGGATGGAGAGGGTTATAGACATGGTGTTGCAAATAAGGTAGTCCGAATTATTCTGATGTTTTATCGACATTTTTCAGACTGATATGAAAAAAGTTGATAAAACGTCAGAATAATTCGGACTACAAATAAGGATGATGTCAAACAAATAACACCAACATTTTTTTTACAATCATACAGAATATTGTGATGATGTTTACATGATATGAGTGTCATCAAGCAAGCCATTAACGAATGTGATTAGACGTAGACCATTTTCTATGTGAGGCTGGTAGTGGGTTCGACCATTGGCTGGGTAATATCAGGAAGACTTAATGATTGATCTTCATTTCCCCTCACTTGGCATCCAGTATCAATAGGGGTAAAAAAAGAGTACTCACTCAAGTTTCTATGTTCAACCATAGTAAGACAGATAAAGTAATCTGAATGCACTCACCCATTCAAAAGATATATCCAACAAGTAATACATGGGTCTGGCTATTTACCACATATTCCCTGTAGGTTCAGGGTAGGAATAGGCCCTGTGTACTCTGCTTGGGGGCAGTGAAGAAACCAAATCAATCTGCTGCCCCCATTTCAACATTTAAGATCTTTACATTTTCTCTCTACTTTCTAACAACCTTTTCCCCCTAGCTCCTCCCTTGGCAATACAATGTAAAAAGTACTCCATTTTCGGCCTTAGATTTGAACATTTGTACATGTGAGGAAGGCACTAGGTTCTGTCCTCATTTCATACGGGTAATATTTCTATCAGAAGTGATATTCTGGTTAAAAAGTTGTATATATTCCTTAAATAACTCTTTCATCCTCTGTTGATGTTAAATTGACCTTGGTGTGTGTGAAGCTGATACGTCTAGAATCCTCCTGTTCACTGCCATCAGAGGTGGATAAGGCACTCTCTTCATCCTCATCTTCATCCTCATCACTTTGTGGAGGTAGAGAGAGACAGACCTCATCTTCTGTACCCAACCTGAAAAAGAAATCGTTTTTGGGAGTTATAGTTAATAAGTTCCGACATACAGTCATCAGGGTCACTATAGTAACATAGTTACACTAAACACTAGGAGCTTGAAAACTTAAGTAATAACAGCATTCTACTGTACTGAACAAAACAACTACACAGCTACAGGTATAAGTGGATCTCTGTAAACAATGGACAGTTGGAAAACACAGATTAACCATTGTATCGTATGTTCCTGACAGCTTATACTTGGGAGAAATAGAGGTTCCTGAATGAGTGGTGATTTTTTTCCTGTTTATCTAAATCTGTAAAAGCCTGAGAAACCTGGAGATAGAACTAACTTCCACTACCCAATATCGTATCTTCAGCTGAGACGACCTAATAACACATGGCTTATTAATTGACACTTGTAGCCACTCAGTAATATGTTGAGGTCATTCAATGTATTCTTTCTATGAATTCGAGTTATAGCCCAGAAACCCTACTGTACCAACTCACATACATGACTGGCTTTAAGGGTCGAGTTATAACCCAGAAACCCTACTGTACCAACTCACATACATGACTGGCTTTATGGGTATCAACCAATGAAAATACCACACGTAGATGAGATGATATATTTAGCAAACAATTTGTATATTTTCCTCTCTATTTTCCCCACTAGGCTCAGTAATTACTGAAACAAGGACGTAAAGCCCAACCAATCAATCCAATGTTTTCCTCAAGGATGAGTGATGAGGTAATTTAGCTGTTACAAGATAAATCAGTATTACATCTGTAACTCGTTCCCTTCTGCTTCTATCCTTTCTAGTTCGTCCAGTCTGGCCCAGAGCTGCTCGTCTGTGATTGGCTGTCCCTGACCTTGTGACTGGCCCACTGATCCACCATCCTTATCTTTGGATACTTTCTTCTTCTTCTTTAGTTCCTGTACCCTTTTCCTATGTTGTTCTAAAATTGGCATTGATCAAAATTATTATGATTGTGTAAGGATTGAATGGCATTTTATCAATGTTCATGCAAGTATGAAGACAAATCGGCTACATACATATGCATAAATATGTATGTAATTGATTTGTATTCATATCAGCATGAACATTGAAAAAAGCTGTTCAAAAAGTATGTTTACAATCCCAACTTTATAGTTATGATTGATCTAAACACGGAAATTCCATTATATCATCAAAATTGAAGTGTCTGTGTAGTCGATGCAGACAAGAATCCAGGAATAGCCTTAAATCCCTTACCTCGCCAAAATGTTGCTTCTAACAGCTGTCTCACGTTATTCGAGGAGGAGGGGAGAAGCTTCAAAATGATGCCATATCAACTTAATCTCTTTTTGTAATGCTTACAGAGGAACTTGCAGAGGAAATGTGAATGTATTACTATGCCTTTTAATCGGTATGGATTAGTTATCAATATAACTGGAACACAGGTATTGCTTATAAATGATTGTAGTCCTTCAAACATATGATGTACCACAAGTAACTGTTAACATTGGATTACAGATTAGAATAAGTCAAAGAACAAAGAATTCCTACATCTCATTGGCCTCCACCCTACTGGGTACCATTTCACAACAGGGTGTAACTTACTTCCTGTTTGTGAAACAGTTCCCAGGCCAGTAATAATGGTTTATAGACATGTACCCGGTAATATACAAGCGGGCACATGTCAGTGTTGTCATCCATCTTCTCTAAATCATTAATGTGGACATCAGACAGACTTTTGGCATCTAGAATAACTTTGGGGTTAATGTAACGTCAATGTCGTCATTATCTTAATCAATTAATTCAACCACAGATTTCTGGGTTTCTGAGGCGAATATATATAAAATTACCAGAACACTGGGCCAGTTACAAGGACACTCCGTAATGGACTTCAGTGCTCTGGTTAATGTTTATATTTGCCTTTAAATCCCATGATGTCAGTTACAATCAAACAGAAACTCAGGGAAACCAAAGACCTTTGTCGACTCTTTTATATACCTTCAGGCCAGGAATAGGACTTACCTCTCCAGTGTTTCTCCTTCATTTCATCATATTCCTCTGTAATGTCTACCACACCCTGTTCCTGTGGAGACGGAAATAGGTTATACAATCAATGTACACAGAGAACATATACACTGAGCAGATGTTTTGTCTAACTGGGACTAAAAACAAAATTTACACGTATGCGTCATGTCTAGTAATTATATATATCTTTTTATTTTTTTTAATTTACCCATGAGTATGGTCTTGACTTATAACTATGAAATATCTGCACAACGAGAATTTTACATAGCAACATTGTAGGTATGATACACCAGACTGTATATAGACAGAAACATACATAAATGGGAAAATTTCTGATCTAGTTTAATTTTCACCTTTTTTCCCCATTTATCATGACAGTGGATGTTAGAACACAGCAGGCAATAAATAGTACATTATAATTACATGTGAAGAGCAAAGTTAATGCTGGGCAAACATGGATTTTGTTGGAAATGGGTGAATATTTGACGAGGAAAAGTTTCCCAGGATACATGTAGCTTACAGGTTTGACATCAAATAGGAATTGCCTTTTTTTTTATCAAATCAATCAATAAATATGCTTGTTACCACAGCAGATTTCTTAAGATCTGTTGTAAATTCCAATCTTGGTGACAAAATCTTTTTCTGTTGTTTTAGTCCGTCTATTTGAGATTCAACATCTGAAAAACAAAGCATGTATACAGTAAGCCATACAAGGTATGAGTGCTGTGGACATCAGATAAAATAAATCCAGTTTATTTTGATTATCAAACTACAGTATTGTAGAGTAATGTGCGATATGTCCACACATAAAACAGAACTGTGGACAACCTTTTCGCCATTGAATATCTATTATCTTACATTCACAATGTAAAATTGTTGTAGAAAGTATGAAAAAATTAGTCATAATGTTTTATTAGGAAGTCTAAAGTTATGGGATAGCAGACACAAATAGGCGTACCTTTCAAACGACGGCCTACAATGGCAGCTGCCTGCTTAGCCGAACGTTCAGCAAACCAGTTGTCGCCTAGCAACACCAGTACTTCATTGGTGTGTACCAACTTTCCCGGCATGAACGCCAAAGAACCAAACGGAACCTGAAAGTTGATTACAGGTGTGTTATTAAACTAATGTGGGATACATTATGTGATGATGAAGTCAAAATTTGACAGGATAATATTCTATTCTTGTTACTCCAATTAATCAGTGAATGAACCATTGAGATACAATATCCCTAAACTTTCAGCATTATCTTTACACAGAAAAATTGGAACTACCACAATACATTACAGTAAAATGTATACCAATATCTTTTTTTTTTATAAACTCAACATCAACTTCTAATAGCATTATGGATACAGCCTAAATAACAAAAATCAAAACTGTTTCAACAGGAGTTCCACAAATGATAAAAAACATGCCATCCAACAATATTACTGTACCAGGACTCAGACTGATTGTAATTCTATATCTACTAAATCTTATGCAAACGTGACTGAAGTTAAAATCATTTGTGTATATGCAAACCAGAGTTGCAGACTATGGTGTTAGATAATATCGAAGGAGTTTTATGAAATTCAGTTGAAAATTTTTCAATATCGTTTGACGATTCTGTAGCTGTGACTTTGACCTTGAAAGAATTACTTTATTTGTAAACTAAGCTCCAGAGAATGATGTCAGTAATAAAAATTCAACCAGAAAACATCTACATGATTAAGTAACTACATGTATATAGTCTCTCTCCCAATAAGTCTTGAGCTAAAAACATTTTTCTGAGGTTGCAGAGTGTAGTTAACTGAATAGAGTGTAGTTAACAGAATAGAGTGTAGTTAACAGAACAGAGTGTAGTTAACAGAATAGAGTGTAGTTAACAGAACAGAATGTGGTTAACAGAATAGAGTGTAGTTAACAGAATAGAGTGTAGTTAACAGAATAGAGTATACATAGTTAACAGAATAGAGTGTAGTTAACAGAATATAGTGTAGTTAACAGAAATAGAGTGTAGTTAACGGAATAGAGTGTAGTTAACGGAATAGAGTGTAGTTAACGGAATAGAATGTAGTTAACAGAATAGAGTGTACATAGTTAACAGAATAGAGTGTAGTTAACAGAATAGAGTGTAGTTAACGGAATAGAGTGTAGATCAAGATAGGGTTCTTATCAGATTGCTATTACACCATTCTGAAAAATAATCTAGAACTGTAAGCCAAAGGCTAATTAATACCCCTGCTCCTATATAAACCAGAACTGTAAGCTAAAGCTTACTAATGCAATGCAATAAAGTCTCCCACCACCGGCACCAGTAATGAGTTAATCACCATTTAAAAAAATAAAATAACAAAAAAAACACCCAAGTATTTCACACAAAGGGACATAACTCCATCAAAAAGGGTCCAAATTCCAAATTAAAATGCTGGTGCACAACTAAATAAGATACCGATCATCCATGCAAAGTTTCAATGAAATCCACCTGTTAGTTAGGAGGAGTTGCACGGACAAGTATTTTGCACAAAGGGGCATAACTCCATCAAAAAGGGTCGAAATTCCAAATTAAAATGCCGGTGCACAACTAAATAAGATACCGATCATTCATGCAAAGTCTCAATGAAATCCACCTGTTAGTTAAGAAGGAGTTGCGCAGACATGTATTTTGCAAAAAGGGGCATAACTCCATCAAAAAGGGTCGAAATTCCAAATCAAAATGCCGGTGCACAACTAAATAAGATACCGATCATTCATGCAAAGTTTCAATGAAATCCACCTGTTAGTTAAGAAGGAGTTGCGCGGACAAGTATTTGGCACAAAGGGGCATAACTCCATCAAACAGGGTTGAAATCCCAAATTAAAATGCTGGTGCACAACTACATAAGATACTGATCATTCATGCAAAGCTTCAATGAATGTAGCCGTTAGTTCAGGAGGAGTTGTGCAGACAAATATTTTGCACAAAGAGGCATAACTCCATCAAAAAGGGTTGAAATCCCAAATTAAAATGCTGGTACACAACTACATAAGATACTGATCATTCATGCAAAGTTTTAATGAAATGTACCCGTTAGTTCAGGAGGAGTTGTGCAGACGAGTATTTTGCACAAAGGGGCATAACTCAATCAAAAAGGGTTGAAATCCCAAATTAAAATGCTGGTGTACAACTACATAAGATACCGATCATTCATGCAAAGTTTCAATGAAATCCACCTGTTAGTTAAGGAGGAGTTGGACGGACAAGTTACTGTGGACGACAGACAGACATCCATACAGGGTGATTCAAGTATACCCCCTAATTTCGTTGCGGTAGTATAATATATGTATAAAGGAACAACTCAATTTTGGGATTGTTTTGCTGTCTACTTACCATCACATCATGCGATACCTTGTCAGGAAGAGTCTTAAGTCTGGTTTTTAATGCTTCATAATCGGACTTAAACTGTTCCCTGAAAGAAAAAAACAACAATGAAATTTGTTCTTGGCCACTATGTTCACCTCAATTGAATGTGTAACTCTTTAAACAATCAACTTGCCGTCGTCAACAATCCAATAGCCCAGAATGTAAATCAAATATAAACATCTCTAAACATCAACATGATATTTTTTTTCTACCATTCAAAACAATGACTGTGATGTTTTATTTCTTCCTTTATTTTACACTAGTTACTAAAAATTTCATTATTATCCTTTAGGAGTCACAGCTATTGACTTAACTAAGACACTTCTGATGTTTGAAGCGTTATCAGATATGTAATTCCCAAGATCAATACCAATTTTTTTTAAATTAAATTTCATTTTATTACTGAAATTAGACTTTGTTATATTAATTACATCATGGTCTAATTTCAGCTTGGTCAATTATTAGAGAGTTCATTTTATAACTTTGAAATGGCCAAAATTCAGTTTTGCTTCCTACCAGTTATCCAACACTTCAAGCTGGTACTAGCCCTGTCTGTCAAAACACCCATCATATAATTAATGTCAATATTCTGGGTGAATTTCCGGACAAGTCTACTACCTGTGGTTATTTCTTTTGAGAAATGTGTATTGACCGATCATACCAGTCACCTTGATATAAAACAACAAATAAACTGTAGTGATGGTTGTACAAGTGTAATAGGGGGAGGTCCGGAGAGAGTTTTGCATCCATGGTCACACGCTGAATCCATTTCGCGATCGTATAGTTTTTAGCAATGGTAACGAGTCGACAACTTCCCCTGCAGCCCTCTCTTGACCTCACCATTTTCGTCAGGTTACAGACCTGTTTTCACTACAGGTTCGAACACTGGATGTAGTGGTAATACAAGCAATTGGTTCAATAACTCAACAAAGTGTTTAAAATACAAGTAACTGTTTATTAACAAGACGGAATGAATATGTACAACAAGTTTAACAAATACAAAGCATAGCATTAGTGCCAAACAATGACAACTAATGTTAAGAAACCCAATCCCTACGTATGTAGAGTAATGGCCTATCCTATCTAACAGTACTACCAGTAGACTACGACCACGTGCTCCTAGCTCCCTATAGATCTACAGCGAACCACCATGTATCGATACCTAAGCCTGAAGCCCCTGACTATCCCTTAATACATGTACTGTAGTTCCTATAGCACTCTATATATCCCAGGAACGATAACTACATGTAGTCCTACGGTATTGGTACTGTTAGCATCACCTCGGCCCATGTTTTGCACTTTTAACAGCGCATAAGGCGGTAATGTTCTCCTCACCAGGAGAAGTGGGTCGGCTCACCGACCCTGTCAAGACGACCCTGTCAAGACACTGATCCCCGCCCGGACCCGCTGTTTTATACCCCCTGCTCCCCCCACCAAATAGCCCCGAAGATGAGTGACCAACTGTTAATCTCGAACCCAGCATCCCCATCTAAAAGCATGTGAGCGAGGAGCGGGAACCTATTCCTGTTATTACTATCCCCCACTTCCGGCCGTCTCAAAAGTGTAAACACACAGATTTCAGCACCGGTATCGTAGCAGCTGATCGCCAGGAATCCTACACTGAACAAAAAGCCCTACCCTACATAAGGGTGAATAACACAGAAAGTAACAGAGCCCTGTCTCTAAATCATAAACAACAATTATACTTAACAAAGTAATACAAATGTGAGAAGTAAACAACCTACCCTCCCAGACAAGATAGCATTCAAGCTTTGTACAGGTTAAATACCGGTCAAAGTGATAGCACAGACTATCTCACTATGTTCTGTAAACACAAGAGGTTGACATTTTTGACAAAACATATGCAAAATCACAGCAGTGCCTGTGGCTATAACTTGAAGATAAACAGTGCCCCTCACTACCACAACCACTAATCAGTAACATGATTAGAAGTACTACTGTTGGGTATCAATTTAGTGATGATGTTCACCCCTGAAACATCCAATAAAAATATCATACACATAAGAAAATATCTCCATATACCATGTACAAGGAAATTATAGCAAAATGTTTCTGTAAAAAATAGATTCAACTGGAAATTTAAGTTCGTGTCATGCATTAGAAAATTAAGCGTTGTAAACTATGTTACCATTTTTCGAGTTTTATGTTTGTTTCTATTATTGCTTTCTCTTGTTCTTCCTTTAAACGTGAAAATTGCTGGTAGCTCATCTTCTAAGCAGCTTTCTTGGTACATCCCATGCTGTACGTCGCTTATGCACACATAAAATAAACATACAGAATATTAAAATATTGCTGTCTGAAATACATCAATATGTTCAAACACTTAACAAATCATATGATGATAATCAAAATATCTTTAGATGTCATCAATGGGATATTATAGTAGAAGGTAGTTCTTATTTTGTTGGCTGTAAGCGGTATAGCAATGGCGGCCTCCATGGCGAAAGCCGGACAGGTGCTTGCCACCGCATCAAATTGTAGTTTTCAAAGTGTTTTGTTTAAGAACGTCGTGTCGACATCCAGGTAACGTATGACCATATTCATCCGCATTATTGGTTTTGTTAATTAGCTTATTTGGCACGAAATCTTATCAAAGACAGTCTAACACTTGCGACAAAAATGTCCTTGGCCTGAGATCAGGTCGGGGGAAACCACTAACTTGCGTATCATACGCAATCTCGCCTATTATAATAGCCAAAATCACTTTTATCCTAACTTTTTCAAATTGTTAGTCCAAGTCGCATTTATTCTTTCATGAAACATAATACAAATGCAAAAATAAACTTTATTTGCATGTGGGAAAGTACCAAAAATAGATGCAATACTTCTGGTAAAGTTACATCAACTTTCTAAGTAGCCAACGCTTTCAGTCAACATCTTTTAGCAAAAAATAATAATTTACCATGTCGTAAATTAATGCGATTTTCAATTATATCTTGCAAAAGTTACTGTTAAAGCGATTTGGGTTATTTTTAGTAACAAATCCATACCCCAACTTGCGTATAATAGGCTAGTTTGCGTATATACGCAAGTTGATGGTTTTCCCCAAACTGGAGATGGTGCCGTTTTCTGTACACCAACTATCCCTTTATTTGTTTCATTAATAATATGCAATAGGTATGGCCTCCTCAGCGGGTAGTTATATAATAAATACGAAAATCCTGCTATATATAAAAAGCTTCATTTGATGAACTGTCATTACAATTTTTTTTATTAGTTCACTAGGGCTACATTCGCGTATCCTAGTTGAAACGGTATGTGTGGCGCAGAAATATTTCACGATAAACGAACGCACTTGGATCGTTCTATAAGCAGAGCTAAAATGCACAGGTTTGGAGAATAAAAAACAATGTATCAAGAATATTATGCCCTACTTTTACGTGTCAACTGAATTACATAATTTATATTAAAAACTACATGTGGCTTGACATTGTTTTAGAAATAAATAACTTAAACTAGCAATAGTCAGCATTTTAGTTTCGGTCAGGTACGTCTGGACCACTCAACCTACATGTGCCTAATTTTCCTGAGGTCAGCCTTGGTCCATATCTGTGCCTGTCGTTTTCTTTACAATACAGGTTAAATCGTTACAACTGGATACGCGAATGTACCCTAGGCCTAAATCAGATACTGGAGCACCGGCAAATCAGGCTGCTATAGTTGTGGGATCGCACAACGCTCCAAAATTACTGTGCATACATCGTACGCACCTTGTTCGCAACTATGCGATTGGACAAAAGATCACCCAGGTGTGTGATTAACATATTTGGGATATGGGAAAATCAGTTGATCGATTTATATTTATACAGTGTATAAATAATTTCGGAAGGCTTGAGTGAAAGATAGTAAATAGTATACGTGTTTAATATCCGATCGGTATATTTTGTACTTTATCTAATTCTTCAATGCATATTACACATGATTAAAATGAGTAACTAATATGATGGAGTCAATTGATTGGAGTCATTGTCGATGAGGAATCATCGATTATTGACAGAAATAAAAACACAACCAGACTTAATTACCTGTGTTAATTGTGCCTGTTTCGCTTTTTTCTGGTAAAGGTAAAAGGTAAGGCTGCATATTTACATTTCATGTGTTCACAGTGCGTACCCGCATATGGCCGTATATCTATAGTACACACAATTAAAATAAGATAAGTTTATTTAGGGTTCAGGGTTCATAAGCCCTCTATACCAGACTCAAAAAATACATACAAAGTATTGCATATAATATAAATAATTTGATAATTATATGATTGCAGCTCTGTAATTTAAAAAAAGTTCTTGGTTTTTCCAGTGGTTGACTAGTTCATTTTTAAATTTGTTAACATTATTTACTGAAGTAACATATTCAGGTAGTTTATTCCATGTTGATGCTGATCTTATTGAAAAATGAGTTTTTCCTTAGCATGATCGTATACTCCATTAATAATTTTATATAGTTTGATCATGTCTCCTCTTATTCTTCTGAAGACTAATGTTGGTAGCTGGAGTATTTCCTGTTAATAATGATAAACTTTATTTATTGAGGATAAAATACATGTTTAGCCAAAGGCTAATCTTCCACATGTCCTCTATTTATCTTGGTTGCTCTTCGTTGCACTCCGTCTATCTCATCGATGTGCTTTTTTAGGTATGGTGCCCACACAGTGCTCGTGTTGTCCAATTGTGAGCATACTAGGCATTTGTATAATGGAACAAACAACCTTTGATCCATGAATTGGAATATTCTTATGAGAGGTGCAAACNAAAAATGGGGTTTTTTTTTTTTTTTTTTTTTTTAACTTTTTCACTTATGTGGTTATCAAAGGATAAATCGGAGTCTATGATAACCCCCATATCTTTGTCCTGGGTGATTGTAAGATTTTCCCATAGAGATGATATCTGTAGGTTGGTCCGGGGGTTTCTTGTCCTCGGGTTGTCTCCTTACCAAATTTCATGTGTTTGCACTTGTCAGGATGCATTTTAAGTAGCCATGTGTCGCCCAACTTACGCATTGTATCTAGATCTTTTTGGAGATACGCACTATCTTCTCTGTTTTTTATTATTTTAAAAATCTTGGTGTCATCAGCAAATAGATACATTTCTGACTGGACCGAGCTTGGAAGATCATTTACAAATATGACGAACAACAAAGGTCCGAGAACAGTTCCTTGGGGGATTCCCGATGTGACATCAGTCCATTCAGAGTCCGCGCCGTTTACTGATACTTTCTGTTTCCGACCTTTTAAAAATGTTGATATCCAAGAAATTATTTGTTCTGAGAAGTTATACAATGTACTAATGTAATTTACTTATAAGCCGATTATATAGTCCATATATATACAATCGATGTTCTGTCTTTTATCCAGAGCCTCTGTCCATTTATCCAACACTTCTAAAAGTTGAAAGGAAGTTGACCTTCCAGATATGAAGCCAAACTGCTTCTTCAAAAAGTAATTGTAATTTCTCGTGAACTTTGTTATGTGTTTCCTTATGACGGATTCCAAGAATTTGAATATGACTGATGTAAAAGTCACAGGCCGGTAGTTTCCTGCTGCGCACCCTTCTTAAAGATGGCACAAACCCAGGCTTTTTTCCAGTCATCTGGTAGAGTTCCTGTTGTCAGCGATTGGTTGAAAAGTTTTCGTCAGTGGGCATGTTATTGCTGCAGCAATGTTTTTAAGAAACACTGGATGAGTTCGTCCAGTCATGGTGTGATTCCACTCTCCTCCTCATTCACAAAGACATTACTCAAAAACGTACAAAGTCTATCTGCTTTATCTTTGTCCTTTGTGAATTTTGCTGACTTTTCGTCTTCTGGGTTTGAGTAGAGCTCTCCAATATTGGATTTAGTAGTTGATTTTGATTTTATATAGTTTCAGATTGCTTTAGGGTCCATTTTGGCTTTTCGTGCAATACGAGTTAATGACTTTACTTTGTTTCTGACTTTATTATACTCGATCCTTGTTGCTGTTTATTTCTTATTGTCTTCTTAGATAAGGAATGTTTCTTTTTAATGGCACCCTTTGTTGTTCCGTCTTCAGGAAATCTGTGCTGGTTGTTTCGTCCTATTGTAATGATCTTTGTTGGTTGTTTCGTCCTATGGTAATGATCTTTGTTGGTTGTTTCGTCCGATGGTAATGATATTTGCTGGTTGTTTCGTCCTATGGTAATGATCTTTGCTGGATGTTTTGTCCTATTGTAATGATCTTTGCTGGATGTTTTGTCCTATTGTAATGATCTTCGTTGGTTGTTTCGTCCTATGGTAATGATCTGTGCTGGTTGTTTCGTCCTATGGTAATGATCTTTGTTGGTTGTTTCAGCCTATGGTAATGATCTTTGTTGGTTGTTTTTTTCCTATGGTAATGATCTTTGTTGGTTGTTTCATCCTATGATAATGATCTTTGTTGGTTGTTTTTGTCCTATGGAAATGATCTTTGTTGGTTGTTTCATCCTATGGTAATGATCTTTGTTGGTTGTTTCGTCCTATGGTATTGATCTTTGCTGGTTGGTTCGTCCTATGGTAATGATCTTTGTTGGTTGTTTTGTCCTATGGTAATGATCTTTGTTGGTTGTTCATCCTATGGTAATGATCTTTGTTGGTTGTTTCATCCTATGGTAATGATCTTTGTTGGTTGTTTCATCCTATGGTAATGATCTTTGTTGGTTGTTTTTGTCCTATGGTAATGATCTTTGTTGGTTGTTTCATCCTATGGTAATGATCTTTGCTGGTTGTTTCGTCCTATGGTAATGATCTTTGTTGGTTGTTTCTACCTATGGTAATGATCTTTGCTGGTTGGTTTGTCCTATGGTTATGATCTTTGTTGGTTGTTTCGTCCTATGGTATTGATCTTTGCTGGTTGGTTCGTCCTATGGTAATGATCTTTGTTGGTTGTTTCGTCCTATGGTAATGATCTGTGCTGGTTGTTTCGTCCTATGGTAATGATCTTTGTTGGTTGTTTTGTCCTATGGTAATGATCTTTGCTGGTTGTTTCGTCCTATGGTAATGATCTTTGTTGGTTGTTTCGTCCTATGATAATGATCTTTGCTGGTTGTTTCGTCCTATGGTAATGATCTGTGCTGGTACATGCTTTACTTCTACTTCTATTAGTAAACGCCTGAAACGATCCAGTATTCAATGATGCTGATAGAATTTTTTATAACTTCATCCCATTTTATTTTGTCTAACTGAACATTGATTGTGGCATAGTTAGCTTTATTGTAGCAAGTTTTCCTTTTACGTTACAGATTAACTTTAATATTGCATGTAACAATGTATAAACGCAGTCATCACTTGCCAAGTGCACTTTGGTATTCAATTCTTGATAGCGAGTTTTCATCATTGGTTATTAATATATCTAAAATGTTAGGATTGTCTCCTCCTTACCATCTTGTTGGTTTGTATGCATGTTGGAAAAGGAAGTTGTCTTGTAGCTTTTCTGTGAACTTGTATTCCTTTGTTTCTGTACTTTCTCCTCTAGTATTCCAAGACTCTTAATTTATTCCTGGAAAGTTAAAGTCTCCCATTATAAAAAGTTGTTCACAGCCCTTATTAGCTGCTTCTTCTAAAAGGTCTTGTAATTTGATGTTATTTGCTGATCCAGAGTCTGACCTATTCAGATTTTGGTATTATTGCTGGTACTAATAGCTACAAACAGGTTCTCCTGGAATGATGTTGCCATGTTCACTTCTTCAGTCTTAAGATCTCTATTAATTAAAAATAACATTCCCCTGCCCCCCGCGTTTTCAATATTCTTGCTGAACATTTTGTAGTTTGTGTTCCCGTCTATATTGTATTCTGTTGCTTTCATGTCCTGTGTTCTGTTCTTTGCTTTCACTTCAGTAATTCCAGTTAGCTAATTAATATAATCTGGTTTTGTATCATTAATTCTGACATTTTGTTCCTCAGTTGGTCAGCGTTTGTGTACATACATTTTAAATTATTAATTGACTTTAGCTTATGTTGAATTTCCCTATTATTATTTAGATCTACAGTCTGTTTCTATTCTACCTGGCCGTCTGTGATCCGTATTTTGGTTACTTTCCTGGCCCATGGTGCGCCCCTGACTTTGTAGGTGAATTCCCCCCATGAGTTTTGTTTATTTTTGGCTTGCTGCCATGTTGCTTTTCCTGTTCCTTCTCAGCTCTTGTTAGGTCGTTACTTATTTTTGAATTCGTCTTCGACACCAAGATTCTTTATATTTCTGAAAAATGCTTGCTGAGCATCCAGATTGCCCAGTGATACCAGTAATGGCCTGCCTTTTCTTTGTTGCTCTGTGATGTCTTTGTTGAATTTTCCTAATCGTGTAGACTTGTCTACATGTACATCATACTCTCGGAGACTGACATTACATTTAAGTTATATGTTCTTATGCATCCTGGACTTATCTGCTTCCTGTGGTTTTGGCCATTCGACTGGATTTATCTGTTCCGATTCTCTCTGTTCTTTTATTATTCTGCGTACTGCATCCTCGTCACATTTTGTTGTTACTGTTTCCTCTAGAGTGGAGATCCTTTTTTCATAGTCCTGCAAGAAAGCTTTGCACCTTTCCTCAATTTTTCTAGCGGTGACAATGTTTTTCTTGACGATTTCCCTGCATTAAACACAGAACCACATGTAGTCGGACGTTTGCAGGATCCTGTATTCATCATTTGTCTTTATTTATAACAGGATCCTGTATTCCTCATTTGTCTTTATTTATAACAGGATGCTGTATTCTTCATTTGTCTTTATTTATAACAGGATCCTGTATTCGTCATTTGTCTTTATTTATAACAGGATCCAGTATTCCTCATTTGTCTTTTTTATAACAGGATCCTGTATTCCTCATTTGTCTTTATTTATAACAGGATCCTGTATTCTTCATTTGTCTTTGTTTATAACAGGATCCTGTATTCATCATTTGTCTTTATTTATAACAGGATCCTGTATTCTTCATTTGTCTTTATTTATAACAGGATCCTGTATTCCTCATTTGTCTTTATTAATAACAGGATCCTGTATTCCTCATTTGTCTTTCCAAGACATTTAATGCAGTGATGTGATCTACATCATTCACAATCTCCGACCCGTACGACAAGGTGTTGGAATGTCACACGGGTCAGAGAACATCTTCTTACATTCTTTACGTATCCTCCCATCTTCTTCATCTACCTCGTTGTCTGTATTTATAACAGGATACTGACCTGTATCTTTGTCTGTATTTATAACAGGATACTGACCTGTATCTTTGTCTGTATTTATAACAGGATACTGACCTGTATCTTTGTCTGTATTTATAACAGGATACTGACCTGTATCTTTGTCTGTATTTATAACAGGATACTGACCTGTATCTTTGTCTGTATTTATAACAGGATACTGACCTGTATCTTTGTCTGTATTTATAACAGGATACTGACCTGTATCTTTGTCTGTATTTATAACAGGATACTGACCTGTATCTTTGTCTGTATTTATAACAGGATACTGACCTGTATCTTTGTCTGTATTTATAACAGGATACTGACCTGTATCTTTGTCTGTATTTATAACAGGATACTGACCTGTATCTTTGTCTGTATTTATAACAGGATACTGACCTGTATCTTTGTCTGTATTTATAACAGGATACTGACCTGTATCTTTGTCTGTATTTATAACAGGATACTGACCTGTATCTTTGTCTGTATTTATAACAGGATACTGACCTGTATCTTTGTCTGTATTTATAACAGGATACTGACCTGTATCTTTGTCTGTATTTATAACAGGATACTGACCTGTATCTTTGTCTGTATTTATAACAGGATACTGACCTGTATCTTTGTCTGTATTTATAACAGGATACTGACCCGTATCTTTGTCTGTATTTATAACAGGATACTGACTTGTATCTTTGTCTGTATTTATAACAGGATACTGACCTGCCATCAACAAGTGCGGGGGAGGAAGCGTACTAGTAGACCACCTGGCTGGCATGTCAAGAAGGAGACGCATATATCAGACGAACAGCTGACGTGGCAGAACCGAGAATTCCTCAAGGAAATAGTCAAAAACAAGTTTAAAGACCTCCCAAGTCCTCTCAAGGAAGACCCTTGGCCAAGAGGAAAATGGAATCAAACGTAAAAGAATAGATCGTGACCTTTTAGAGATTCATGATGAATTTCATATTTTATTTATCTACCCAAATCATATAGATATAAGGAGGAAATACATATAAAAAGTTGAGGATGAGGATGATTTTTAGAATGAAGATGATTATGAGGATGATTTTTCATTACTTTGGTTTTGATGATTTTGATGATGATGACGATGCTGATGAAGAGGATTTCAGTGAAGTCGATGATGATGATATGATGGTGTTTATTTTGGTTTACAGAAATATGTTTAATTGAATCTTTAATGTATTAGGTCATGATTTCAACAAAGAAAGAACAGGTATTATTTTTTCATTTTTAGCACACGAAGAACTGGTGTTTTAGGATTGAAGCTTGGAACCATGTTACAGTGGACGAAAAGTGGTGTACAAACCAAAATAACACTTTACCAGGTAAGATATATAATCAGCCAATTACAAACAACACTTTACCAGGTAAGATATATAATCAGCCAATTACAAACAACACTTTACCAGGTAAGATATATAATCAGCCAATTACAAACAACACTTTACCAGGTAAGATATATAATCAGCCAATTACAAACAACACTTTACCAGGTAAGATATATAATCAGCCAATTACAAACAACACTTTACCAGGTAAGATATATAATCAGCCAATTACAAACAACACTTTACCAGGTAAGATATATAATCAGCCAATTACAAACAACACTTTACCAGGTAAGATATATAATCAGCCAATTACAAACAACACTTTACCAGGTAAGATATATAATCAGCCAATTACAAACAACACTTTACCAGGTAATATATATAATCAGCCAATTACAAACAACACTTTACCAGGTAAGATATATAATCATCCAATTACAAACAACACTTTACCAGGTAATATGTATAATCAGCCATGAGTAAAAAATACTCAAATGACTTCTTCTGAAGGACCTAACTAAGATCCGGGTATATGGTCAGTATCTTGTTTGCATGGAGTGCTACAAAGTTTTGGGGAAAATGCCCTTGTGCATTATTCTAGGTCAAAGCAGTCATGTAGCTTGCAGGGATTTAATAAACCCCCATTCAAGGTCACAAGGGTCAAATATGTTAAAAAGTAGATTTAGTTTGAAGTGTGGGCTTCACTCTCTGCCTGTCTACAAAGTTTGGGGCCCATTCATAAAACAGTAGTTAAGATATGCTGTAGAAACCTGAATTACACTTAATTTTATTTCAATACTTGAGGTCAAGGTCTAAGGTCAAATTGAGATCACAGTGACCTCATTTTAGGATGTGGCACACCACCTCTTCATGATGTACCTATAAAGTTGGATGACAATTAACAAAACAGTGGCTGAGATATGCTCCAGAAACCCTTATTTGAGCACTTGAGGTCAAGGTCAAAGGTGAAACTGAGATCACAGTGACCTCATTTTAGGATGCAACTCATCCGTTTCCTATGATGTACCTATACACAAAGTTTGATGACCAAATGCTCTTGAAACCAGCCAGCACAGAGGGAAACATGCATGGATGGACAGACCAAGCAAATACCATATATCCCCAACTTCATCAAAGTCAGGGTAGAAACATTCAAACTACTTATATTGATCTAAGCCACCAAGATAACCGATATCTGATCTTCTGCTTGATGTGTGTAGGGCTATCAACTCATTCAAACAATTACCCTAATACACATTCAAGGTCATATAGATCAAAATGTTCAAATATTCACAGAACTTTTTCCAAGTACCCATGGTACCTAGATTAATATGATGCCTATAGCTTGCTGGAGAAAGTGCTTTGAAGCTTATCAAGTAGTTAACTCTGACTTGCATTGAGATCATTGGGAAAGGTAATGATCAGGATTTGCTATGGACCCATCATGGATTTGTGTTTAAGAAAGACAGGAAATTGTGCACATATCTGTGCAATCTGTTTTACAATATTTCTATGTGGGCAGGCTACCCATTCTCTGCATATGAAATGCAGGCTTTGAACAATCACCTATTTACAAGTTATTATCGGGACAAACAAAATAAAGCAAAACTCTGTGTTTAGCATTGTGACCTTGACCTTCAGCAGCATTGTGACCTTGACATTCGGCAAACTACACACGGTTCTTTGCATCCACAAGGACAACCCACACATCAAGTTTGAACTTTGTATGATCATTTGTTCCAAAGTTATGTGGACAAGCAGAATTGTATTTAGTATTGGTGACCTTGACCTTTGACACACCATACTCAAAGTCAATACGGTTCATTGTATCCACTAGGACAGGCCAACACACCAAATTATTTTTGGAACAAATACAAAGAAGCAAATTTCTGTTTTTAGCATTAGCGACGTTGTCCTCTGGTAGACCACAACCAAAATCAAACAGTTCTTTGCATCCACTAAGACAACCCACACACCAAGTTTGAACTTTGTATGGTTATGTGATCTCAACTTAACATCTGGACAAGAAGAATTCTATTTATAGCCATTTTGACCTTGATCTCTGGCGCATCATGCTCAAAATGCAGTTCTTTGCATTCATTAGAAGTTGAACTTTGTATGATCATTTGTTCTCATGTCAGAGGCGTGATATTCAATCTGTAGCTTGATAATATACGGGGCTGTTAACTTTAAAAACAAAATGACTTTCTCTAAAATGAGCTATAACAAAACAGTTGCTGAGTGCAGGCCACATTGACTGACTTTATAATGCTTGCTATGATGATTTGATTAAATTACAGAACAGGGGTGTAAAATTTCACATTTTGAGTGCTAGCCCGCAGGCAGATTTTATGAAATTCTACTAGACTCGGTTATATTTTTACAGTACCTAAATGCTGCAAACTTTCTGTGGCCCTGACATAAATCTGCGAGTTGCTGGCATCCAGCTGGTGGAATTATGAGTTGATATACTTCGTATGTTGTTACTGTTACAAGATGAGAATTATTTTTACTTTGTAGATTATTGACAATCATGTGATACGGTATATACCACCACACCAGTTCAATGCGTCAGTAGGAAGTACTCCGTACTGGAAGAATTTTGGGGCTGTGGTGGTGGGGGCACTCAGCGCCACTCCACAAGAAGTGAGTATTTTGTATCTGTATAATGGATTATACTAGCATTAAAGATGTATCTAGGGTTGCTCTATCAAACTCATATTAGAGATGCTGAATTTGATCTACATTTTACACAGTTATATCATGCTGAAAAGAATTGTTTTTATCAATATCTAGGTAACTAGAAATTCTACATAGATTATAGTGTTTTAAAAAAAAGTATTGTCAAGTTAATAGTGTTCATCAATTTGTAGCATTTAAATTACTTTTCATGTTTACACCATTGCTTTTTATATATGGTTTGAATGATTTCTGAAGCGTTCTGCACCCTTCACAGTTGTGTAAATATTCTACATCCCTAAAGGGCTTCCACTACTGCTCAAAGAGTAGGGTATTGATGATAGTGTCTTCTTCTTTCCGTTGTTTCTGAAATTTGCAATTGATTGGTATCCATTGTGATAGTTGATTCAATTATCTACAGAAAATTGCATGATTATGAAAACAAAGATAAAACCACTGTCAGCTTTTCCTGGGGATGTTTTAGTGTGCTATCTATCACCAGGTGTGATATTATCTTGTTGCAGTTCAGAAAAGAATACAACAACTTATTTTTGGAGGCAGGCGTACCACCTAAGAGAAAACTCACACGGTTCTTGGTTACACCTAACGCCGCCATTCAGCCAGGTAGGTCAAAGGTCAAAGTTACAGATCAAAGGTCAAAATTGTACCTGAGGCAGCCATACAACAAGGTATGTCAAAGTTACCTGAGGTAGCCATACAACAAGGTATGTCAAAGTTACACCTGAGGAAGTCATACAACAAGGTATGTCTACGTTCCACCTGAGGTAGCCATAAAACAAGGTATTATGTCAAAGTTACACCCGAGGTAGTCATACACCAAGGTTTGTCAAAGATACACCTGAGTTATCCATACAACAAGGTATTTCAAAGTTACACCTGTGGTAGCCATACAACAAAGTATGACAAAGTTACTCCCGAGGTAGTCATACACCAAGGGATGTCAAATTGTACCTGAGGGAGTCATACAACAAGGAATGTCAAAGTTACACCCGAGGTAGCCATACAAAAAGGTATGTCAAAGTTAGCTGAGGTAGCCGTACAACAAGGTATGTCAAAGGTACACCTGAGGTAGCCATACAACACGGTATGACAAAGTTACTCCTGAGGTAGTCATACACCAAGGTATGTCAAATTGTACCTGAGGTAGTCATACAACAAGGTATGACAAAGGTACACCTGAGGCAGCCATATAACAAGGTAGGTCAAAATTGTACCTGAGGTAGTCATACAACAAGGTATGACAAAGGTACACCTGAGGTAGCCATACAACAAGGTAGGTCAAAATTAAACCTTAGGTAGCCATACAACAAGGTATGTCAAAGTTACTCCTGAGGTAGTCAAACACCAAGGTATGTCAAAATTGTACCTGAGGTAGTCATACACCAAGGTATGTCAAAGTTGCACCTGAGGTAGCCATATAACAAGGTAGGTCAAAGGTACACCTGAGGTAGCCATACAACAAGGATTGTCAATGTTACACCTGAGGTAGCCATACAACAAGGTATGTCAAAGTTACCTGAGGTAGCCATACACCAAGGTATGTCAAAATTGTACCTGAGGTAGTCATACAACAAGGTATGACAAAGGTACACCCGAGGTAGCCATACACCAAGGTATGTCAAAGTTGCCCCTGAGGTAGCCATATAACAAGGTAGGTCAAAGGTACCCCTGAGGTAGCCATTCAACAAGGGTTGTCAAAGGTACACCTGAGGTTGCCATACAACAAGGTATGTCAAAGGTACCTGAGGAAGCCATACAACAAGGTAGGTCAAAGGTACACCTGAGGTAGCCATACAACAAGGGTTGTCAAAGGTACACCTGAGGTTGCCATACAACAAGGTATGTCAAAGGTACCTGAGGTAGCCATACAACAAGGTAGGTCAAAGTTACACCTGAGGTAGCCATACAACAAGGTATGTCAAAGGTACCTGAGGTATCCATACAACAAGGTAGGTCAAAGGTACACCTGAGGGAGCCATACAACAAGGAATGTCAATGTTACACCTGAGGTAGCCATACAACAAGGTATGTCAATGTTACACCTGAGGTAGCAATACAACAAGGTATGTCAAAGGTACCTGAGGTAGCCATACAACAAGGTATGTCAAAGGTACTCCTGAGGTAGCCATACAACAAGGTTGGTCAAAGGTACCCCTGAGGTAGCCATACAACAAGGTAGGTCAAAGGTCCACCTGAGGTAGCCATACAACAAGGTATGTCAATGTTACACCTGAGGTAGCAATACAACAAGGTATGTCAAAGGTACACCTGAGGGAGTCATACAACAAGGTATGTCAAAGGTACTCCTGAGGTAGCCATACAACAAGGTATGTCAAAGTTACTCCTTAGGTAGCCATACAACAAGGTTGGTCAAAGGTACCCCTGAGGTAGCCATACAACAAGGTATGTCAAAGGTACTCCTGAGGTAGCCATACAACAAGGTATGTCAAAGTTACTCCTTAGGTAGCCATACAACAAGGTTGGTCAAAGGTACCCCTGAGGTAGCCATACAACAAGGTATGTCAAAGTTACTCCTGAGGTAGCCATACAACAAGGTAGGTCAAAGTTACACCTGAAGTAGTTATACAACAAGGTATGTCAAAGTTACACCTAAGGTAGCCATACAACAAGGTATGACAAAGTTACACCTGAGGTAGCCATACAACAAGGTATGTCAAAGTTACTCCTGAGGTAGCCATACAACAAGGTTGGTCAAAGGTACACCTGAGGTAGCCATACAACAAGGTAGGTCAAAGGTACACCTGAGGTAGCCATACAACAAGGTATGCCAAAGGTACCTGAGGTAGCCATACAACAAGGTATGTCAAAGGTACCTGAGGTAGCCATACAACAAGGTAGGTCAAAGGTACACCTGAGGTAGTTATACAACAAGGTATGTCAAAGTTACACCTAAGGTAGCCATACAACAAGGTATGACAAAGTTACCCCTGAGGTAGCCATACAACAAGGTATGTCAAAGGTACCTGAGGTAGCCATACAACAAGGGAGGTCAATGTTACACCTGAGGTAGCCATACAACAAGGTATGACAAAGTTACACCTGAGGCAGCCATACAACAAGGTATGACAAAGGTACACCTGAGGTAGTCATACAACAAGGTATGACAAAGTTACCTGAGGTAGTCATACAACAAGGTAGGTCAAAGTTACACCTGAGGTAGCCATACAACAAGGTATGTCAAAGGTACCTGAGGAAGTCATGCAACAAGGTATGTCAAAGGTACACCTGAGGCAGCCATACAACAAGGTATGTCAAAGTTACACCTGAGGTAGCCATACAATCAGGCAAGTCAATGTCTCAAAGTTACACCTGAGGTAGGCATGCAACAAGGTATGTCAAAGTTAAACCTGAGGTAGTTATAAAACAAGGTATGTCAAAGTTCCCTGAGGTAGCCATACACCAAGGTATGAGAAAGGTACACCTGAGGTAGCCATAAAACAAGGTATGACAAAGTTACACCTGAGGTATTCATACAACAAGGTATGTCAAAGTTACACCTGAGGTAGTTATACAACAAGGTATGTCAAAGTTACCTGAGGTAGCCATACACCAAGGTATGACAAAGGTACACCTGAGGTAGCCATACAACAAGGTAGGTCAAAGTTACACCTGAAGTAGTTATACAACAAGGTATGTCAAAGTTACACCTGAGGTAGCCATACAACAAGGTAGGTCAAAGGTACACCTGAGGTAGCCATACAACAAGGTATGTCAAAGTTACACCTGAGGTAGCCATACAATCAGGCAAGTCAATGTCTATGTCGTCTACAGTAATCTTCCTTCAATGTAATATTTGTTATAAACTGTTTCAGACATTTATTATTTATGTTTATTATTGATTATCAAGTTGACATTGAACTGGTTACTGGTTAAACTATTCGAATATTGTTTTAAGTAAACAGTAAGTAAAAGTCCGTTGGTTTGACAACCTCACTTCAGACACAACAGAGATAAAGACTGGGTAGCAAAAGGCTGTCAGTAACATAGTCATGACAACATCAACTGAACCGTCTGTGACAGTGTGTTGGTAAAGTATGTGTTCATTAGGTCAAATATATTAGGATTATAAAGGATAATTCAATAGACTATGGAATTGTTTGTGAGACATAAGTTAATCATGTTTTCTCAAAACCTAATTGCTTGTCTTTTTAGGTACTCCTCTGTCTGTTATGCACTATCGCGTTGGAGATTATGTAGACGTACAAGCTAAAACGTAAGTCACCAGTTGATGAATCACTGTTATAATAACAGATAAATATCTATACTGTTATAATAACAGATAAATATCTATACTGTTATAATAACAGATAAATATCTATACT